CCCCCCCCCCCCGATTGTGGGAAATCTGTTTCATCAAACCGACAATCTGCAAATCGAACAGTAAATAAATCTCTCGTCAATGGTTCAAAATAGCGAATAATAGAGGGTGATTCAAACCCAACATATATTCTTAATCTTCTCTGTGGGCCCAACTTACTGCGTTGTGGTGGTTCTACTGGCACATATACAGCACATCCAAAAATTCGTAGATGGGCAATATCTAGTTCATGACCAAAAACTAATTGTGACGGAGAATATTTATTATAATGTGTCGGTCTGAGACGGATAAGTAATGTTGCATACAAGATAGCATGGCCCCAAACAGTAGTGGGCAATTTTATTTTCATAAGTAGTGGTCTTGCTATCAATTGCAGGCGTTTAATAAATGACTCTGCAAGGCCATTTTGAGTATGAACATAAGCTATAAGATGTTCAATTTTTATCCCGACTGATAGACAATAATCATCAAAAGCTTGAGATGAGAATTCTCCAGCATTATCAAGGCGAATAGCCTTTATAGGATAATCTGGGAATTGTGCCCTTAATCGAATTATTTGGGCTAATAGCTTTGCAAACGCCAGGTTGCGAGATGATAGTAGGCACACATGAGACCATCTTGAAGATGCATCTATTAGGACCATAAAATATCTAAACAGCCCACTTGGTGGGTGAATAGGTCCACATATATCCATATGTATACGTTCTAAAAAGGCAGGAGATTCAATGCTAACCTTCATTGGTGATGGTCTAGTGATCATTTTGCCTTGATAACAGGCATCACAAGAAAATTCATTATTTGTAAGAATCTTCAGGTTCTTTAATGGATGCCCACTCAAATTTTCAGTAATTCGTCTCATCATTATTGATCCAGGATGGTCCAAACGGCCATGCCAAAGCACGAAATTATTTGAATCAGTAAACTTCTGGTTTACGATAGAGTGTGCTTCAACTGTACTAATCTATGAATAGTATAAGCCAGAAGATAAATTTGGTAACTTTTCTACAATGCACTTCTAGCCAAAAATATTCTTTGTAATACAAAGATATTCCATATTCATTTCATCTATCGTCTCAACATGATACCCATTTCGGCGAATATCTATAAAACTCAACAAGTTTCTTCGGAACTTGGAGGAGAATAATGCATTGTCTATTATAAGTTTCGTTCCCTTAGACAGAAATATAGTGGCTCTTCTGGAGCCTTCAATTAAACTTATATTACCAGAAATTGTTGAAATATTTGCTTTTTCCTTATGCAAATAAGAAAAGTATTTCTGATCTTTGAATATGGCATGAGTTGTTTCACTATCAATTACACAAATATCTTCATGATTGGTCTTTGATCCAAACATAATTTGAGGATTATCCATATTCTTCAAAATGACATAAACAAAATAAATATGATAGTAAATATTATTATCAAAGCATAACTTTTATTTATGTACAACAATTACATAACCATACTATCTACTACAAACAACAAAAATTAAAATATTTACATTTCTACAGATTCACTACCGATCACATGACTTGTTTCTCCTTCTGGGAGTGCAAAGTAATCAGCTACATCCAAATGCATGAAGTCTAAATTACCTTCAGAAATAAAATTTGCTTCGGCATTTTTCTCTGTCTTCTTCAGGGAGGCCTGATAAAGCTCAACCAGGTGCTTTGGCGTACGACAGGTACGTGACCAATGCCCTTTTCCTCCATATTTATAGCATGCATTTTCTGGCTTTGCTGCTTGCACCGCTTCATGCTTTTGTTCCTTCCTTTTCCACTGCTGGTGGTGAGGAGGGTTCTTTGGTGCATTATTATTACCATGATTATAGTTTCTTCCCCGACCACGGCCATGACCACGACTGGGGCCACGTCCTCTTTCGCGCTTAGCTTGGTGGAAGTTCGTCTCATTCACTTCAGGGAATAGACAAGAACCAGTAGGTCGGCTTTCATGGGTTTTCATTAATAGCCCATTATGTTGCTCGGCTACAAAAAGATGTGAGATAAGTTCAGAATACTTTTTGAATCCCATCTCTCGATATTGCTGCTGCAGGAGCATATTCGAGGCATGAAAAGTGGTGAAAGTTTTCTCCAACATATCATGATCAGTAATATTATTAGTT